GATGTATATTTTGCAGATATTTTCTCCCACTCTGTTGGTTGTCTTTTAACTCTGTTAATTGTTTCTTTTGCTGTGCAGAAGCTCTTTAGTTTGATATAATCCCATTTGTTTATTTTTCCTTTGGTTGACTGTGCTTTTGGGGTCGTATTCATGAAGTCTGTACCCACTCCTCCTTCCTGGAGTGTTTCTCCTATGTTTTCTTTAAGAAGTTTTACTACAAAGCTATAATAACCAAAAGAGTATGGTACTGGCATAAAAACAGACACACTGATCAGTGGAATAGAATAGAGCACCCAGAAATCAACCCAAACACCTACAGCCATCTGATCTTTGACAAAGGCACTGGGGAAGAGACTGCCTCTTCAGCAAATGGTGCTGGGAGAACTGGATATCAATATGCAGGAGAATGAAACTAGACCCATACCTTTCACCATACACTAAAGTCAACTCAAAATGGATTAAAGATTTAAATATACACCCTGAAACAAAGTCATAGACGTTTAAAAGAAAGAAAACATTAAAACCACTTTTACTTCCATTTACATATCCAAATAGATTACTGACAAATGGCTTTTCTTACAATAAATGTGCCTTCCCATCAATCTAGCCTTTGGGAAATGGCAACATCCTGACTTTTCAGGTTAGGAACAAATACAAGTTGAAATAAAATGTGGCCATTAGTGTGAATGATTGATCTCTCTCATGCTCTCTTAGATAAATCCATTTCTTTCTCCCATAAATTTTGACCAGGAGAAGAAGTATCGTTTCCAGAACCAGGTAGACAAGATGAAGGAAAAGGTCAAGAACGTGGAGGAAAGATCAAAGGAATTTGTGAACAGAGTGGAAGAAAAGAGCCATGATCTAATTCAAAAGTGGGAAGAGAAGTCGAGGGAATTCATTGGCAACTTTCTAGAACTATTTGGACCTGATGGAGCATGGGTATGTAATTATTTCACTTGGTCCCACAATGACAGGCATTTTCAGTTTATCCTCCTTTTCATGGAGCCACTCAAGCATGTCCCTTTTCTCAGTCCACTATGTGGCCTCTGCTTTGGGCATCAGCCTGAATGACTTTGAGTCCATGTCACTTCCTTATTGAATTTCTGCCTTAGCCCTCAATATGGTACCCAGTAGCCCCCGAAGCCAGGTCGGGTCTCTGTTTCTGTTTCTTGTGCAAAGCTTGGAAGCCATCCAGTGCTCATAAATGTCTCTTATTGAAGGGGCCGGTTCCATAGTTTATCCCAGTAGCCCAGCTGGAGATGATGCAAAGCTGGGGGATAAGGTTGAAGTGAGTCAGTGGCAGCACAGAGCTTGTGTTGCAAGACAAGGCCAATGGGCTCTTGAATCAACCAATAGCACTTATGTTTTGGGGAGAAGAATGTAAAAGAAACGTAGCTGCTTTGGTCAGCTTTTGTTGTCAGAAATCCTCTTCTTTCACTGGTTGGAAGAGAGAGAAGAGGTAGAATTTTGCTCTGCATCTGTGTGTGTCATGCCCGATTTTCTCCTGTTTTTCCATGGCATGCAGGTGTTGGAATTAAGGCACAAAAGTCTTTGGGGATGAAGCCATGATCTGTATTTTAAAACTGAGAGAGAAAATGTAGAGGGTCTCCTTGCCTAAATTCTACAGACAACTCTGAATGATAACTATGGAAAGAAAATTCTGGAAACCACCTTGTACCATTGGTATTTCTATTGTGCTTGCTCTTCCTGAATAAATCACCAGTATTGTCAGCAGACTTGATGAGGGTTCTATGAAAGAGATACTTTTAAAGCTAACTTTCCTTTTAAAACAAAAAGAAATGATTCCACTTGATTTCCCTGATTTTTAAGTAGCCTAGATTTCCTATTATGATATAAGTCTCTAACAAAATCCACTTCCACTTATTTTATTGATGGGTTGTCACTGCTGCCTCTGCTTGTTGGAGCTCATTCATTATAGGATTATCTAAAAGTAAAACACTCGATTAGTAATAGAAAAAGAACAACATTTGAGAAGTTGAAAAGATGCTTTGCTCAAAGCCTAGCAGCCTCTAAGTGGTTGTAGAGGTGGGCGTTATAGGCTAACCATGTCCTGTCAGCTGTCTGAGAGGGGTAGAAGATTTGCGAGGGCTGCTTGATCCCTCAATGACTTCTAGAAAGAGCTGACAAGTGTGGAGGAGCCAGGGGCTGGGCTCCTTTTAATTTTCCCCCACCCTGCTAAAATTTTCAGCTCAGACAATTTAATTCATGGAACATTTACTGACGTTCCCATCTATACATGGCATTGTGGAAGAACACAAAGAGAGACAAAGTGCAGACCCTCTTCTCTAATAACTATAACATAAAGTGTGAAGTTTCCCATTTAATCCAGAATGTATTTTAATAGTTCACATTTTTGCAACTAATTTTCAGGCTCTGAAGAAACAGCTAGTGGTTTTTAATGAAACTATAGAGGTATTCATTTGCTTACAGGGAGTCAGAAATGTGTCTCTGATAAGAAGCCCTCGTATTGTAACTCAAGCAGGTGGATGTTTTCTCCACCTGGAGTGAGCAAAGGCAGGGAAAAGATATAATTTCATAGAAACTTTATAGACCCTAGTCGTTTTAGGCTCCTGGTGAAGGCAAAATAGTAGCTGGAATTGTTCTTGGGGAATCTGGTGACAGCAAGGTGAGGTGATTTTTAAGAAATGAAACCCAGCTTAGAGACTGGAGGTTTTTCTTTTAAAACTTGCTATTATTGTCAAAACTGTTATTAACGTTAATTTACCGTATCAGCCAGACTTAGACATTACTTTTTTTCTGTTGACATTAAAAGTACAGGAATAGTTACAAGGATGTTAAACGCCAAGATAAGTAATTTGCTTTTCATGAATATGCTATTATTATAATAATTCTTTATTTGTGGATTTGGGACTGAAACTCATTTTTTAAAATAGAGGATCTGCATTACCCGCAAATACAGTACTGATACAAATAACCCAAACTTGGAAAGGTGTAAAATAGAAGAATTTAAGGTTCAAAATTTGGTACAACAGGATTGGTATGCAGCATAGTATGTAGTTTAGAGTGGGTACTCTGTATTTCTGGATTAAATAAATATATGAATGAATGGATGTGTGAAGGAGACCTATTCACGAAACCTTCCTAAATCCTATGAGTGTGTGCATACATACGCATATACTATACATATACATGTACATGTACACACAAACACATATATATCTTTAGCCTTTTATTGCTTATGACGGCAGATACAGGTTGAATACGACTTGGTGTTTGGTAGATCAAATTCAGTAGGGAGACTTGGTTTGGTTGGCTCTCAGCAATGTTTTAAAATTTCTTTTAGGAAGGGCATGAACTCTCTAGATTGCCACGACCACACCATTTTCCACTGTTCCTCTCCTCCTCTCCCAGCCCAACTCACACACTTACACGGCCCACCTGGCCCCAGGGAATGTTTGAATTTGCTCCTTGTGGTATATAGTCTTTAAGTCTTCCCAAATGACCTCATGTTTGATATCAATGTCCATGATATAAAATCCACACCTTCTATCTCTGAGTATAAAGAAGTGATGATGATCGTGATGGTGCTGATGTTATTGTCTAGAAGTTGTGCAGCAGGTTGAACTCTTTCTGATGTCCACTCATATCTATTCTACCCATTTTAACCACACAAGAAGGTATATTGTAGCCATTTCGTAGGTAAGGAAATGAAGGCATAGAAAAATTATGAAACTTCCCCATGGTCTCACAGGAGTTTGGAGGCTGGGATGGAGCCTGGGACCCAGCTCTGTATGCTTCACAACAGGAATATCCACAGGATGCACTCGTTTTGCTTCACTTACCTTTGGTCAGGGTGTAGCATTGTGGAGAAACTGAGGTCTACCAAAAACCCTGTAAGGCCTTGTGACAAAGCCAGTTGTCAGAATGGCACCTGAGGCCAGGTCATCTAGATTCAGGACAGGCACTGTCAGCTGGCTCCAGGCTTCCTAAATAAGCAGAAAGTGTGGTATCCATGGGTGTATAAATTTTCCATTGAAATGTAACAAATTACCCCAAAACTTAGTGACTTTAAACAACAAACACCCTGTATGGGCTAGCTGACAAAAAACAAAACAAAAACAAAAAACAACAACAAATAAACAACACTTATTATCTCAAACAGTTTCTGAAAGTCAAGAACTGGGAAGCAGCTCAGCTGGGTGGTTCTGGCTCAGGGTCTCTCATGAAGTTGCAGTCAAGATGTCAGCTAGGGCTGCAGTCATCTGGGGCTTCCATGCCTACTCATGTGGCCGTTGACCAGGTATCTCAGTTCCTCAGCACCTGGTCATTTTCACAATGCTGCCTGAGAGTCCCCAGGACATGACAGTTGGCTTTCCCCAGAGTGAGTGACAGAGAGAGAAATAGTGACCAACACAAAAGCTACAGTCTTTTATAACCTAATATCAGAAGTGACATACCATCACTTCTGCCATATTCTGTCGGTCACACAGACCAATCCCAGTACATTTTGGGAGGACACTACATAAGGATGTGAATAGCAGGAGGCGGGGCCATCGGGGGCCGTCTTGGAGGCTGCCTACCCCAATGACTTTTGAGAATTTGAACAAGCAGTCTACTTCTCAAATGCTATAGTAGATGATCTGTTCCTAATTATTCAGGAACAAGATCTGATTGGTGGATTATCCGAGCCCAAGTTGTTACTTTTCAAATCTCATTACTCCACTTATTTAACTAGTTTTGCTTGATTCTTCTAACTAGTCTTGACTCATATTCAGAAGGTAGCCTGTAACCCAGCCAAGCTGCACAGGGAAGACTTCTCAGCAGAGGCTTGGTATTACCTTTCTTCAGATGGAAGACTGTCTCAGGGAAGGACTTATAAAGGAGCTTAATTTTGAAGCTTTGTTGCCAGGTTGGAAGTGATGCTGTTCATCTTCAAAACAGCATGCAGAATTGAGGGTCAAGAAGACTGTGTCAGGGGATGCTGGCTCAGTGTTCCGGGTTTGGTTTGGGGGTAGGGCCTTCCTAGTGAAACTTTTTGTTTGAAGTATATGAATTCCCAGAGCGGACACATTCTATTTAAATATTAACACCCCGACCACATATGCTGGTTTTTAAAAACATTATGTGTCCTTTTAAATGATTTGTCACTGTATTCCTCCATTGCCTCCGAAAACAGAATCATTTCCTGTTTAAAATGGAGTGGGTCTATTTTATTTTACCATATGAACATAGACCCTTTCTTTGAGCACCAGGAGAGAATGACCTTAAGTCAGGTGCAAGTTTTTAGTTCATCTTACACCAGTGAACTCCCTTTGCCCCAATCCAGTCTGATAGATCCCTATGCCACCCAAACAGGCATTTGCCATCTGATGTACAAGACTACTACCCTTTTAAAAAACCTGTGTGTCCATTTTTTGGAAAGAACAGATTTACAAAATGTGAAGTCCACTGCTAATTTTTAAAATTGTGGCAAATATATACATAACATAAAATTTGCTCTTTTAACCATTTCAAGTGTTCAGTTCAGTGGCATTAAGTGCACTCATATTGTTGTGCAACCATCGCCACCATCCATCTCCAGATCTTTTTCATCATCCCAAATGGAAACTCTGTACCCATTAAACAATAAATCTTTATTCCTCCTCCCCCCAGCCCCTGACAAACATCGTTCTACTTTCTATGTCTTGGAATTTGACTACTCTAAGTACCTCATATAAGTGGAATCATACAGTATTTGTCCTTTTGCGTCTGGCTTTTTCACCTAGCATAATGTCTTCAAGGTTCATCTATGTCGTGGCACGCATCAGAATTTCCTTCCTTTTAGAAAGACCACAGTGGTGCGTTGGACTTGCAGAGGGAGAGAACATACCTTGGGATAGAAAGTGGAGTTGGGGAGAAAGGGGGAGAGGGAGGGAGGTTGGGGATAATTGGGTGGGGGACACAGGGTACAAATGTGG